GGGCGCCGGCCACAGGAGCCCGTCTGCCGCGCGGGGGCGCTGTGCTCGCGCTCCGGCGCCTAGACACGCGGAGGGCAGCCCGAGGTCTTAGGTAGCTCGAAACGCCCGCGGAGAGGTCCCTCTGGGCCGGGTCGGGGGAGGGCGGGGGAGCGTCAAGGCCCGTGGAGCAGCGTCTCCGCGCCGCCCCAGGGCTGCAGGTACATTAGAAAACCTGACCCAACAGCCAGGAGCCCCTTTCGCGTGCATCCCTCTCATAAACCCGCAAAGCCCGCTTGCCGCGCCGGGCCCCAGCGGGCCTTTTCACTTACCGCAAATCTTGAGCCCCAGTTTTTTTGTGCATCCATGGGCCACACCACACCAGGTGTCATACGCTAGAAAGCAAGAGAGGGGCAATCAGTGAGGCCTGGACCACGGGAGAGCGGGCCGGGAGCAAAGGTTTTTCTGGGGAAGGTGGGGCAGGTCTCTGCCAGTGCTCTTTCCTGAAAGGAGCTAGGAGCCAGATCTGCGGGCGGGCGCGCAGACTCGTGTCCCGCTCCCACTTTCACATACAGAACAGCGTCTCTGGGAGGCCGCACACCAGCGACGCTCCCAGGGAGCTGCGGAGGCGGGGTCCGAGTGGGGCGCGCTGACCCCAAGAGCAAAGGGCCAGCTCCGCAGCTCAGATTGCCCCGCACTCGCCCGCCAGGCCCTGTCTTAGTCCGTCTCCCCCCTTCCCCTCCCCCCCACTCGAAAGGCGACCACAGCAGCCGCGAAAGGGAACAGAGGCATCTGGGACCAACACATCTCATAATTTCTTGGCGGGTCTCCAGCCGAGTGGCAGCTTAAAATAAACTGGCATGAAATGGGGTCGCGGAAGAGTTCAGGAATTAATTGGGTGAAAAATAGTATTTGACTAGATGATAGGACTCGCACGGCTGCTCTTCTGTCTGACCCGGGAGTCGCAGTATTATCAGACTCCTCAGGGTCCATCCTGCCCTCGGGGCTCAGCTTCCAGCGAGGAGCCCGAGTGTGCATTCGCTTCGGCTCCTTCAAAGCAAGGCTCCTCCAAACACTCCCATCCCCCACCCCACCCCGGCCCGCGCCTTCAGCCCCGCGCGAGTGTTGGCTGCGATAAGGGGAGTGACATCCATTAAACCGGGACATTCAACAGAGCCCCAGCGGGGAGGGGGGACAGCCCGACGGCAGTGAGACAGCGCGTCACGGAGGGAGTTCCTGCAACAGACATGAAATGCCTGCGAAAGCAAACCCCTAATAACAATACCTGCCAGGTAAAAAGCCGATCGAGTGCTTTTCGCTATAAACACCATCTCAGCTTATTTTCAGAACCACCTTATGAAACAAGAGGGGTGTTCATCTAAGACTCATTTTACAAATACAAGGATCGAGGCTCAGAGAGGCTAAGTGAGTTTTCCAGAGTCACTCAGCTGGGGCGTTGGAGTTCAGACCCATTACTCTGTCTTTCGGAGTTGGGAGTAACAGTAAAAGAAAAGGAAAGAGAGATGGGGAGAGGAGGGGAGAGAGCCCCTAGGATGTAGCAAGTGGCAGGGAGCAAGGGGGGGGGGTCGCTGGGGCCAAGGCCGAGTGCTGTGGTGCAGATTCAGCAAGGCCACCTCCCAGGTAGGAGGTCTGGCAGGGGCAGAGGAGAGCACCAGCTGGGTTTACAAGGATGCGCAGGCTGAGAGTGTGTAGAGTGCAGCCTGGGCTGCTGGGGGCTGCTGGGGGCCCGCAGGTGAGCTCGGAACAGGTGCATGCTCTTCCCCCCCCCCCC